CTAGAATGGGATAGGAGCTTAAGAAAGAATATTTTTTAAAAAAGAAATAATTATCAGAGTTAATCATACTTGAGTATGTATAAAGACCTTATGTGGGTTAAAAAAATTCATAACTGACATTAATAATTAATTCAGATACCTATGAGCTTTTTATAAAGACATTATAGATCATGTGACATGTTTGAGTTCATATGTTGTAAATATTTTCTTTATGCATTCTAAAATATTCAGAATGCAGAATTACAAAATTTATATTAAAAAGTTCTTTTTATAATGGAAACTTTTCAAATAGACACAGAAGTGGGAAGGAATAGTGGACATTACACAACACCCAGCATCAGTAAGCATCCATGTTTTTTAATAGTCCTCATTTAATCTAATTCCCTTATTTTCACCCAGTTATTTTCTATTTAAAAGCAAATAGTGGGCATATATTTTATTTGACCATAAATGCTTTACTATTTATCTGGAAATTAAAAATTTATATAAAATCTATACACAACGCCATCCTCCTGCTGTATGATTTACACATTCTGAAAACCAGCTGGAGGGTCAGCTACGAGTTGGTTTTGACAAAAGGGTAATGAGTAAGATGCCATTATCATACTGCAATGAGTTAAAGGAGCAGTGATCTCAGTCTGAAGACGAAGGTGTACCTGATTCAGGTCATGGTCTTTTCAATCATCTGTTATGTATCTGAGAGCTGGACAATGAATAAGTTTGACAAAAGAAGAACTGATGCATTTGAGTTGTGGTGTTGGAGAATCAAAACAAAACAAAAACATCTATGTTCTGGAGTGAGGTCCTGTCCCTTCATTTTTAAATTTACCTCTATGTATGTGTTATACACCGTTTCTTCTGCTTCAGATGCTCTCCTTACCTCTCCCCACTCAATATCAACATCTCAACTGCCAAAACAAAAGCATGTATGTTTTAGAGAAAGAGCACCTAGAATGCTCCTTGGAGGACTCTTTGAAAATGGCGAAATTTCATCTCTCACACTTGGGACATGTTGCTAGGAGACATCATACTTGGAAAGACGGAGAGTCAGTGAAAGAGAGGGAAACCTCCAATGAGATGGACTGACACAGTGACTGCAGCAATGGGCTCAAGTGGGTCAGAGATGATGAGGACGGCGCAGGACAGGGCAGGGGTCAGATCTGTTGTTCATCGGGTTGCTATGAGTTGTACTTGCCTCACCGGCATCTAACAATAAAAACAACATGGATTACAACAACACAAGTTGTAAATCCTAACTTCCTATACCTGTGGATATAATCCCCTCTGGGAACAGGCTTTCTTTGTTATGTTACTGAAACCATCAATTTTGAGATATAAAAAGCAGATTAGACACAGAGAAGGAAACACAATGAAGTAGAAAAAAGCTGGAGAGAGACAAAGATCTTCCCCCAGAGCTGACAAAAGAGAGAAAGCCTTTACCTAGAGCCTGTACCAGGCCTTCAGACATCTAGCTTCCTGTGAGAAAATAGGACACCTACCTATAGAATGAACAGTAATTTCTTACTCTAGTCTAACACCCAGATATTTCAATTCCCCAACTATTTTGCTCTGCTGGCTTAGTGGTAAGGAATTGTGCTACCAAGCCCAAGGTAGGTGGTTTGAATTCACCAGCTGCTCAGCCAGAGAAAGACAGGCAACCCCCTCCCATGTGATTTACTGCTTTTGAAAAAATCCAACTGGAGGGTCAGCTGTGGGTTGGTTCCAACGTGACAGTACATAACACCAACAATGACAACTATTTCAGAGATTTTTTTTAATAGTTGAGTTTGTGCTAAACAAGTGAATTTTTTGCATAATAAATGAACAAACAAGAAAAGAGCTTCCAGAGATGAGAAGGTAAATATTTCATGCCTGTGGCCATAGGTCTAGATGAGCTTGAAAAGAAAAAGACATTTGCTTTTAAATGTCACTTGCAGGGTTTTACCCTTTCTCACAACCTTCTTATTTAGTTTCAGAACTGTGCAAAAAACTTTCACCAACACCCTCGAGGAAAAACAGAGTCCAGGAAGAGCCATGTTGAGGTCCCCATTCAACCTGCTCCACAAAAGCAATAAAGCAAAGGGGAGCGTGGATGGTAAGGACGACCGTTTATCAAGAGAGCCACGCAAATGATCAATCTTAAGCCAAATTTTTCTTGTCAAATCAATACAACTTTGAGACCTAGAGGGATGGTGAACTTGGTAACACTGAAGTCTGCTTTTAAAATCTGGATTTCTCTTGTCTGTAATGTGAAGTTGGAGCTCCCGGAGCATCCTAGCAAAAGCAGTTTGAAGGGCAAATCCAATTACCTTGGAGGGGTTCTCCTTTTAACAGCTCATTCTCATCTATGCTTGTGGGTCAAGGGCACAATTCAAATTTCTCTCTGCCCCTTTTGAATCCTACTTCATCTCTGTACCCATGCTTGTTTTTGCTCCCCAAGTAACAAGCTGAAGGGCAGAGTCCTGGCTCTGCATAATGACTCACCATTCAACAGGATTCTGCTTTGTCCTTACACATCCACCCCCCTGGCTCCTGCTGGGCCTGTTATTTCCAGCTATGAACTTTCCAGGAATCTGATCATGTCGCAGGCCTCTTCCTGTATGACAAGTCTGATGCTAATCATGAATGGCAGGTTGCACGCAGAGGGGTAGTATTAGTCATGAAATTTCTGTCTCCACATTCAGAATGAGGGCAAAAGCGGCCTCAAATAGGCGGGCTGCATATCCGTTGGGTACCTTCGGGCAATTAACAAGGCCTCTTGCTGCAGACATTCCAAGAGTTTTTCCTAGTTATGCTAATGAGATGCAAAAAAGTACAATGGTCTGCCAGATTTAAGGTCTGAGTTGGGCCTGATGAGGAGACCTCCTGCCCACAGGTGGACTGAGGGTTTCCCAAAGCACCGAGGCCAGACTCCCCTTCATTTGCTCCAAACCAAGCACTCTGGGATTCTCGTTCTTAAATTCCCCAAGTTTCCCTGCGCGGACCAGGTCAGGGCCATTGTTAGAAGTCTTGAGAGTGCTATGAAAAGGGCTGCCAGAGGTGGAAATAATATTTCATTTCCCGAACATGGGATGCTGAGGCACATCAGACAAACACTACAAATCAGAGAGGCTGGTATCTCTTTGCTCAAATTTTCACTTCTGTGGAAATGGCTCCAATGGGCCCAAATGACATTCTCTAAATGCAAGTTGAAGGGGATTATCTGTCTAACTGAAAGTGCTCAGATTGAAACCCCCTGTTCACTAGTCCCGAGAGAATGACATCGGCTGGTGCTAAAAGACCATCTTTGTGTGGGACAAATGGACCGAGGAAAATCTGTTTTGCCTTCCCCGTTTCCTTTTCATCTTGACATAACCAGAGCCAAATGAGATGTTTTCCATTTTAAAATTTTGAGCGAGTAGACTGGGCACAAGCCCGCTCCTTGGTTCTTTATAGTTTTTGAAATTTTGTGACAGAATGAGTCCTGTTCCGTTTGGAGGGACAGTGAGGCTGAAACCTAGCTGTCAGACAGTGGTGCCCTTTGGGAGCTTATATAATGTAAGGTAAGCAGTACCATTGCCTGCAGGAACCAGGACTCACTCAGGCTCTGGGCATGAGAGGGGAGAGGCCCCAGGTCCCACTGTGTCTCCATATCACGCTACACACACAAACTTCCTGAGCAGAGGGGTAAGAATAGGCCAGGGCAAGAGTTAGGTTTGAATTAGTTAATAAGGAAGGAAACGAAGGCAGGCAGAATAGCGATGAATGGAATGACCTTTCTTTAGTTCTAGTGTCTGAGAAACCTTGCTTCTTTGGCATATTTAAAAAGGCATTATTGAAAAAAAGATTAAAAAATAAAAAGGCATTATTCAAAGAATGATCAGATATTATGCAATTAACAATCTGGAAGAGGACATACATCAGTTAAAATGAGAGAGAAGGGGGGGGGGAAACCGAGCCAAACCAAATGTGTACGATGAGTGAATAAAAACCCCATTCCTTTGTAAACTTTCATTCAAATCCCTATTTTTAAAAAAGTTGAAAAAAAAAATAAAAGGTGTTATAAAGGATTTGATGAGACACTGTAATAAATGACACTAACCAACTGAAAGAAATGCTCTAAAGCACACTGTATGAATGACTGACTGAAATTCAACATGATTTGTAAACTTTGGCTTAAATTTTTTAAAAAAGAGAAAGAAGGAGAAAAAAAAAGATATTATAAACAAAACATTAGATTCCTTACAGTATTAAGTTTAGTTTTGGTTTCTGTACTTTAAGCTTTCTATAAAACCTTTCTACATTCAATTTCTACCTTGTTTTAAAGCATCCTTCTAGGGTTTCCTGTTAGACAATACACTCCCTGAGGGCGAAGCTATCTTTTTGCCTTTATATGTTGCACATAACAAACACTTGATATGGGAGTGAATGTACTGAACAGAAAACAGCTCATCTAGTAGTAAAAGACTAACAAATTGAGTTTTCAGTAGTAGACAGGCATATGTCATGAATTATTATAGTTATTAAAAAATTAGAACACGTCTATGCTAGAGAGAAAACTATCTGGGGAGAGAAGTGTAACATTGGCTCTTACAATGTTCAATCAGGCATTTGCTGAATATCATATTTTTCAGAGGGCACATCCAACTCTAAATATTAGCAATCGGTGCTGACTCTGGATTTTCTGTCTATGATGAAGTTCCTTATTCATTCCAAAATTAATTCACTGCAATTATTTTTTTTTCTTTTCTAGTTGGGTACTGAGCTGTTGTACTCTGGATCCATGAGAGAGAATTAAGGTACAAATTCTGTTTGGGTTTTCCAGCAAGGGAGTGGGGTAATGAGGGAACTGGGAGTTCCTACTCCTAAAAAGTGTCAACAAGAGAAGCAATGGCTTCGTCCTTCACCTGCTATCGAAATCCACCTCCTGCCTGAACTGCCTGATTTGGATGGTGGCCTTCCCCTCTGCACTCTTGGTGCCTATGGCACATATTATTACCCCATATGTTCTATGGTCTTACTCTGGCAAGCAGGGATCTCACAGTACTTCCAGTAGACACCGTCCTCATGCTCGGCCACATAGCACCAGGGGCTCACGTCACCATCAGGGTTCCTGTTGGGGAGAAGGACATCACCAATCATATTTCCAGCACTTCAAGGCAACTGGTCCACTACTGTCCAGTTTCAGAGAAAGAGAATGGTCTGTTGTTGTTGTTGTTGTTATGTGCCATTGAGTCGTTTGCGACTCATAGCGACCCTATGTACAACAGCCCTAAACTCTGCTCTGTCCTGTGCCAACCGCACTGCCTCTGACACACCCATCCCAATTACCCCAGTCACTGAATCAATCCATCTCATAGAGGGTCTTCCCCTCCTGCGCCATCCCTCCACCCTCCCAAGCATGATGTCCCTCTCCAAGGACCCGTCCCTCCTGGCAACATGTCCAAAGTATGTCAGACGAAGAACCAGAATCCTTGCCTCCAAGGAGTAGCTTGGTTTAATCCTCTCCAAGATGAATCTGTTTGTTTTCCTGGCAGTCCATGGTACATTCAGTACTCTTTCTCCAGCACCACAGCTCAAAGGCATCCACTCTCCTTCTGTCCTCCCTAGTCATTGTCCAACTCTCTGATGCATAACAAGCGATTGCAAAGACCATGGCCTGTATCAGACGCACGTTAGTCTCCAGAGAGACACCGTTGCTCCTGAGTACTTTAGAGAGGTCCCTATCGGCAGACTTTCCCATCGTGATACGCTTTTTGATTTCCTGACTGCTGGTGCCAAGAGTGTTGACTGTGGAGCCGAGCAAACTGAAGCTGTGAACAATCTCAGTCTCTTCGTCATCCATCCTGACGCTGCCAATTGGTCCAGTGGTGAGAATCTTTGTCTTCTTGACATTGAGCCTCAGTCCATACTGAAGGCTGCAGTCCTTGACCCTTCACAGCAAGTGCATGAGGTCCTCCTAGCTTCTGGTTATTTCTCATGAACGGTCTCCATCTTAATTTTGTCTCTTATCCAGAAGGAAAAAGGGTGACAATGGTACCTAACAAGTGTTTTAGTGTAAAACTACTATGCGTATTGTCTGGCAACAATAGCTGCTGAATATTGAGCTGATTCTGAAATCCTAGGGGAGCTCTGCACTGCAATATTAAAGACAAGTGGTTTGAGGCCACCAGCTTCCCTGCGGGATAAGGAAGGGCAGTCTCCTCCCAGGCAACTGACTGCCTCTGAAAACCCGCAGGAGTGTCAGTTATGGGTTGGTTCTGACTCAATGGTACACAATAACACAGCAAATTCACAGCAACCTCCATGCCCTCGGTTCTGAGTTTCACCCACCTGTTAGTAAAAAACTCCTTTATTACATACATACAGTATTAACATATTTTTAAAAATCTTTATTTTATTATTTGTGTGTACCGTCAAATCAGATCTGACTGGTACAGGAGGAGATTGTACCTCCTTCCCCAGTAGAGCATCTGGTGGATTCGAACAGTATTAACATCTTAAAAGCAAGGTTGTTGTTGTTGTTGTTATGTACCATTGAGTCACTTGAAAATCACAGAAACCCTATATACAACAGCTCTAAACTCTGTTCTATCCTGAGCCAACCTTATCTTCTCTGACACATCTACCCCAATTATTCCAGTCACTGAGTCAATGCATCTCATCCAGGGTCTCCCTCTCTTGCACTGTCTCTCCACTTTCCCAAGCATGATGTCCCTCTCCAAGGACTAGTCCCTCCTTGCAACATGGCTCCTTATAGCAAAGTTTGTGGTCTGCTTCATTTATACTTCTATGCCCTGTCAACCTGAACTAGGTGGCCTCGTCTGATTCTGCATCCCCTTTCGTAACACCTGTTGTGCATTTTCCCTTTCTGCGTTCTTTGAATATCTTGGTCAATGATAAGATGATGATAAGAGGCTGCCACTCATTTAAACATTTCTGTTATATAAGCCGGGAAATCAAATGCATGGACACCCCCTTTTTCTTTATTACCTTTGATAACCTGTATAAAATCTTTCTGCAAGTGTCACTTTCAGGAGTTAAGAGTTTAGCTTCCCTGCTGGCCAACCAATTCTCCCACTCTTGTGTCTATTGACCTTTTTTGCTGGTATATAGCACGCCAGAATAAACTACCCTGTTCTGAGTTGTAGTAACTAGAGTGGTTACTGTCTGGGTATTTTTTTGCCCTACAATGTTGCTATTGATTGCTATCGAGTGACTCATAGCGACTCTATGAACAAAGGGTCTGAAGCCCCTCTATAACTATCGACATTTATCAAAGTTTGTAAAGTTTCCGGAGGCATGTTGTTTAGGAAATGGATGCCATTCCTGCTTCCAAACCTGTCATAGTATGTGGTTGTTGTTATGTGCCGTTGAGTTGCTTGCATTAAATAGCAACCCTAGGAAAACGAGTCTTTCTTCTCTGACCGGTAATTCCTAACTTTGGGGAGAATATGAGCTTTGCAAACATAAATGAGGTGAGAGAGCTGACCATCAAGCGAGCCATTTCAAACAGCAGTGGCCTCTTGACTTCTTGAGAGAGCACAGGTGTTCTTACACACCGCAGCTGAAGATGTAGACAGTACATATGGTCAGGCAGCAATGAAGTAGCCAGAACAAAGTTCCTGAAAATCCTCTTCTCAGCAGTTTTCTCATCAGGAATTTATTCTAACGAAGTCTTTACCTCTAGAGGTGGTCGCTAAAGCATCTTTATAACATAAAAGATTGCAAACAACTATCAGACAATAAAGGACAGAGCAAATAAGGATGGTATTAGCCACACAAGAAAAGCTGGGCATCTAGTAACATGAAGTGCAGAAATAACTGACAGACAAAAAAAAATCCAGCCACCGTCAAGTTGATTCTGCTTCATGGCAGCCCGTGTGTATCCAGGTGGAACTGTGCTCCACAGGGGTTTTAATGGAGGGTTTTTCCTAGAGCACCAGGCCTTTCTTCTGAGGTGCCTCTGGGTAGACCCTTTCCTCCAACCTTTCTATTAACAACTGAGCACATCACCAGTCTGCACTGCCCTGGGCCTCTATTAATATGAAAAAAATTTTTTTACAATGTCTTAATAAGCTTCTGAAAAAAGGCAGTTCTAAAAAACCTTGAATGTCATGATCCGTTAACCTCTCATGTTAAATATTGTAAAGGATGTATCTCTACATGACAGAAAATTTTATTTCCATTCATGATTAAATGATTCATGATAGAAATTTCCCCCCCATTTTTTTCTATTTTCCCTTTCCTCCACAAAAAGCAGCTCTGCCGGCATACTGCATAGCATGCTGTGCTGCTAACTCAAAGGCCGGTGGGTTGAATCCACCAGCTGCCCCTTGGGAGCATTATGGGCAGCCTCCTTCTGTAGTCACAGCCTCAGCAACCCCATAGATGGTTCCTAGGAATCAGAGCTGACTGGACAGCAGCAGTGAGGTTTTCTTAGTTCAGCTCCTCTACAATGCACACTCCATCCAATTGTGTCCTTTTAAAAGGGTTTTACTCAAGCAGATATATGCACACCCATGTTTATTGCAGCTCTGTTCACAATAGCAAGGAGTTGGAAGCAACCTAAGTGCCCATCAACAAACGAATGGCTAGAGAAGCTGTGGTATATTTGCACAATGGAATACTATGCTGCATTAAAAAACAAGGAACTCATGCAATATTACTCAAAATGGTTGACTCTGGAGAACATTATGCTGAGTGAAATGTCCCAGTCACAAAGGGACAAATATTGCATGGTGCCACTGTTCTAGAATGGGACTGTCCTTGGGGTTGGGGAGAGACTGAGTAAGATGGGTTCAATAATGTATGCTGCTCTGAAACAGAGAAGGGAGAAAACTGTTTAAAAGAGATATGTGATTAGGTATTTCTGTCATGACAGGAGTCTAGAGCGATGCCTACATGGTGGAGTGGACCTGGGGGAGGGTTTGTAAAATAATGAAAGAATCTTTTCCTTTACTTTCCCAAGAGGGTAATGTCTGGTGGGGGGAGCCTTGGGAGGGGACAAATCTACAACAATGAATGAATGGAAATCCAAAGCCTCTGTAAATTTTCACTGAAATTAGTAACAAATTTAAATTAAAAATAATTAAGTTAGAGTAAGGATGGCAATGGAACCACCTTACCTCTGTAACTTGATTTGTGCCACTATTAGAACCTCTACTCAGAATATTATTGCTTTTCAATTTTTGACTCATGCACTTTTAACTTGTTAGTTAAATTTGTATCTTCTAGGCTGCAACACTTCCATGATACATCTTCAAGGATATGAACATGTACGGCTAAGCACAATTGTTAACAGTGCATCTAAATTCCAAAATCAATCTCCATAATAGTCTATGTGTTTCCTACTGCCAGGGGGGCCCTTTAGAGTAGTGAGAGAAGACATTCACCCTGAAACCCACAGCGTCCCTTTTCAGCAGGAAGTAGCTAAGAGAGTATGCCATCCCCTTTTCCTTATGAATCAGGGTGAAGTCTCTCTCAGGGAGGAGTGATAGGGAATGGCAAGGGACACACTGACAAAGGAGATTAATCAGAACTGGCTTTGACAAGCACTGTGGCAATTGGACAATTAAAACAGACATGGGGGGGGAAGAAGAACGAACTGGGGAGGAGGGTAGAGAAAACAGTGCAACAATGAATGAAAGAAAACCCAAAATCTCTGTAAATGTTCATTAAAACTAATAAAATTTAATAAAAAAATAAATAAAAGGATTTTACTTAATTGATTAAATATCAATTTATATAATATAGGCTTTGCAGACAACCTTTCACCAGGATTGAGCTGGACAACTTGGCTCTATTAGGAGTAACCTCTCTCTCATCCCTACAACTCTGGCAAAGTGCTGCAGTTGGAACCCACAACCCTCTGATCCCCGTACCAATTTCTGATACTGTGATAGCATTTTAAAAGAGATTCCTTTCCCATTACTAAATGATAAAGGCTTGGCATAAAGACCCTTGCAGGGCTTTTCAGTTCTGAGACGTGCTGACAATAACAGGCCAACACTGTGGAAGCAGACCAGAGAGTAGCAGGGGCTTCTGTGCTGAGAAAAGCCTTGTCTCCTGCACGCTTTGCAAGCTCCTTTTATTTGGACTCCGAACACTGGAAACTCGACACTCTGGTTAGGCCGGAAATGGGCATAAAGACCCTGGAGCTCCAAGCCAGAGCAATCCCTATCAGCCCGAGAAAGCCCAGCCCATTGTGTGGCCTAGGAGATAAGCCTCCCAGAAGCACAAAGGATCGTTTTGTTCCCTTTGCCCAAAAGGCAGGTGCCAGGGCCAACTCTGCTCTTCTCTGTCTCTGCCTTCCCCTCGAATCCAGATATGTCTGGCTTGGAGCAAACCGTTCCCATCACTCGCCATCTCTCAGACATCTCAAATGTGATGGTTCTGGGGGGAAAAATGGAATTGCAAGACAAACATGGTGTCAGGTGTCGGCTAGGAAATCAAAGGAGAACTTGCACAAAGGCATTCTTTAAACAGCATTTCACTGTCATTTCCCTCTCTCTTTTCAGTGCTCAACTTTGATGTATTCTTTGGTCAGGCCCTTAGAAAACAACTGTGTGTTATCAATGTCACAACCATTCAGAAAGGCCTCAGAATACCTTAATAGAGAAAGAGCAAACTCATCTTTGACCTGACTGGAAGGCTGCAACAAAAGGGCCCCTAGGCTCCCTGATGTGATAATATTCAACAATCCCAGCATAAACCAGTAGTTCAGGTCTGGTATGTTCTATCAAATCAAAGGAGAAGTCGGCAGAGACCTGGCCTAGGGAGGAAAGTGGTTTTCCGCCCCCTCAGCACTGCTCTCCTGAAGGATATTTTACCCAGTGAGTTTCTGGGAGCTTATGGATCAACCAGGTGTGTTAATATACCAGAAAAGCTAATATTTTCCACATAAATGCAATGTCACTGTAAATTTCAAATTGATCTTAAAATTAGACTTAAGAAACAGAAATTCTTCTGAGAAGATTTGGTTGATATAAAGCATTAGAGTAATAACACACACACACACACACACACACACACACACACACACACACACAGAGCCTACTACCAAGAGACACTTTGTTGTTGTTGTTGTTATGTGTTATATGCTGTCAAGTCGCCTATGACTCATAGTGACCCTATAGAAAACAGCCCTAAACCCTGCTCTATCCTGTGCCAACCTTATTGTCTCTGATACACTTACCCCCATTCCTCCAGTCACTGAAACAATCCATTTCATCTAGGGTCTTCCTCTCTTGTGCTGTCCCCTCCACCCTCCCATGCATGATGTCCCTCCTTGCAACATGCCTAAAGCATGTCAGACAAAGAGACACTTTAAGATAAGAAAGAATTTGCTGTCAACACAAAGGCATGTGGTTCGATTCCACCAGTAGCTCCATGGGAGCAAGATAAGCAGTCTCCTCCTGTGCAATTTACTGGCTCTGAAAACCCATTGCAGGGTCAGCTATGAGTCAGTTCCGACTCAACTGGACAAAACAACAACAACAGGCAAAAACAAAAACCAAGCACCAACTTCTATTTCTGAACCATCTTCCCAACCCACCCCAGCTATTCTCATATGTGGAAAAATGGGGGGAGCAAATAAGTCAGAAGTGGAATTGGCTAATTTTTTTATTTATCTAAAACGTTTTCAACCAACAAGCTTTTTCAATCGGAAAGCAAAATTCAAAAGAATTCTTTAATATACAACTTAAACAATAAAATACAAAAGATAACAACTTGGCAAGTGGTCAATATGTAGCTAATTGAGACCTATGAGAAGAGTTGATGCAGGAATTTGGGGAGAAAGAGGTGAAATGGGGGCACTAGCTATTTTAAGAATGTGGATCTCTTAGTATTTGTGAATTTGTTGCAGCAGCTCTTAAGGCTTTTCTCAGAAGAAATTTAAAAAGTATGCAAAAGCAATGATGGAGAATGCCTAATTGTGGGAATGTCCAATCGTGGGGGCTGTGCAGCTGTTAGGGACTGATCAATTATGGAGGAATGCAAGTTCTGACAGAGGTAAAAAAAAGAAGAGCTGAAAGTACAGGGATCCTTATGCCATGACTGCTAGGCCTGGTGACTACCTCGAGGGTGCTGAGGTGTTAGGAAAGGTATGCAGGAAAGCAGAAAGTAAACAGTATGTATGGACCATGGAATGTAAGTATATATTAGCTCAGCTGGGTCAACAGTGCAATGGCTGAGATGCTAACGTCCCGGTCAAACCAGAGGACAGTGTTGAATGTTGTCCTGTATTCTCTTCTCCTGTCCCAATGGCTGTCTTCCCCCTTGTTCGAATAATGAAATTCAACAAAGTGTTGTATTAGGAGTCCCATTATTCAGATCTTGGATATAAATACGTAAAAGACATAACACCAAAAGTGCCTAGCTACAATATGGCTGTTGTAATCAATGACATAAAACAAAACAAACTTGAATGGCTGAATGGAAAACTCATGTGCTTTGTAAACTTTTACTCAAATCATGTATGAACAAGCAAAAGCCAAACAAGAGCACTTGGGATTTTTGCCCTTGGGCTCTCTATAGACCAATGATTCTTAACTTGTTTTAGATGAGACATAACTGTGAAAATCTGATGGGAGCCATGGGTCATCTGCTCAGAAAATTGTGAATACACTGTTTGTACTAAGAGCTCCTTTTAGACTCAGGCAAGAAGTGAAGGGTAAAGAAGCCCTCTAGCCTCGATAGAAGTAAAGAATAAGGATGTGAAGGATACAGACGCTCACAGAGCAAAGCTATGCTGGGCGGGCAGGAGGGCAGTGTCTTTTGCTCAGAAGCAGAGAGGCCTGGGTCACAGACGGTACTCTGTTTGACCACTATATTCACAACTCATGAAGGTGTGAGTGTCTGTGTGTGTTGTCCTCTCTTGGTTGAAAAGTCATTTCTGAAATCCCTCTCAAAGGGCCATGCAACTGTTGTACAGGGAAGTACAGCTCTTGAAGCCAGAGATCAGAGCAACCCAAGTTGAATACTGTGGTAGATGGTATGTGTTTGTGTACATGTGCAGAAGAGATAATTTTCAGCCTTTTCAAATAAGAAAGGCCTTTTAAAAAAACAAAACACACACAGCCTAAGAAAGGCATTTGTCCAAAGGACACAAAGTAGTGTTCCTGAGCTGTAATGAGCAGGGTTGAAGGAACCAGGAGACGAGAATAGAAGTGGTTTTGCTTTTTTTTTTTTAAAGTCCTGAGTGGACCCCGCTTACCTGCAAAAGTTGTGTTCACCCAAGCCCCCCTCGCCATTGGGGTACTTCAGAGTGTTGTACGGATGCTGGAAAGTCTCGTTCCAGAACAAACATGGCTTCCCGCCGTGCAGCGTGGTCCAGTTCTGCGTTCCCCTGTAATCCGCACCGTTGGCTGTGAAACACTCTATGGTGAAGGAAAGACAGAGCACATGAATTAGTGGCACCATCTCCAGTCTCCTCTCCTCGCCGGTTGGTGTTTTCTTTTTCTCATTTTGGCTGAGCTGAGAATGGTGAGGGTCCTGCTAGATGCTGGGATTTGGTGTCACCAAGGCCGTGCCAATCTGCACAAGGTGCCCTCCATATGCTGGCCTGATTCTTGGCACTAGCCTATCTAGAGACATCACAGCATCTTCTCTAACGTGGCCAGATCCCAAATTGAGTAGAAAACGGGAACTGAAGAGGACTGAAATAAACCAGGAATGTTCCCCATTCCCCAAACAGGGAAGAGCTGGTCACAGACATTCAAGTGTAACTGTGGGCACTCCGAGGAGGTCACTGCTCTGCCAGTGTCTCTGGGTGGTAACCAGAACCAGGTCACCCGCTGTAACTGAGCTCTCCCCTACAGTCTGAAAGGCTGCATGACACTTGGATTTAATAAGACCATCGGATACAGCAACGCTTTGGAATTCCAATCACACGGGTCGAGAATGACTCACATTCCCTGGTAATGAAGAACAGTCCTCCCCACGCTGTTTGAAATCGAGGCGCACCAGCACAGACTTTTGACACGTGGGAGGAAGGGCCCCTCGCTGGCACCTTCTCCTACCTTCTTCTGCACTTTCTCCCACCAAGATGCACTGAAAAACATCCTCAAGTCCCTGAGAGGTGAAATGACAGTCCGTGCAGGTACAACACTGGAGTAGATCTGTGAGTTGCCGCTCAGACACCAGGAGGGATGGGGACATGGCCCGTCGGATTTCTCCCACATATTGCACGCATTAAATGCACAGAGGTTCATGGGAGAGGCACGGTACAAAGAAAAAAAAATTTTTTTAATAAATTAGCTTAGTTGAAACTGACAGATAGCAGCACTTCAAACACTTCTCGAAGATGTATCACTAGAAACCTGACAATCTGGTGGAGCTTCGTGAACATTCTCCGCTTTCTTCCCTTCCTCTCCTTGGAAGGCCTCCACCGGCCTATGACTTCCAGAATGAAGGCCTCTTCATGCTGTCTCCTGTTGGAGTCCATGTGCCTTCTGCAGCCCAAGCGTGTGGGCAAGTCGAGCACAGCTAAGTAAAGGAAGAGATTTCTTGCCCTATTTAAGGACCTAGGCACAAAACATCTCTCTTCCTGTACCCTCAGCATCCCAACGTCCATGCCCAATGTTCTATCTGGGATGGTGCAGTTTTATCTATCATCAAGATAATCAGATCTTCTTCTGGCGATCTGGTATGTCTGGCACACATTACTTACATGTCAAGGGGAATCATCGGGTACCATGATGATCAAACCCTGGACTGACAATCTGCGTTAATAAGGAAGAGCCGAGGTCAGTGGCACAAAATACACTAAGAGGTTAAGCCCTGGCTTCGCATCCAGACCTGCTGCTGACCAGCTGTGTGGCCTTGGCGCTATCACCACCATCCACGTCATCACTAATGCTGACACAGTGTTTGAATACATGGCAGGCACCGACTCGATCAGGAAGTGCCTTCAGAACCCCCGTGCTAGAGAGGAAGTAGCTGGGGCACAAAGAGGTTCAGTAATGTCCCCATGACAATCTGGTTCTGGGAAGGGAGCCATTCACCCCTAAAGCTGTCTCTAAAGAAGCCCCGAAGTATCATCCTTGCTTCTCTTAACCCATTTCCAATTCATCAGCGAATTCTGTTGACCTCCTTAAAATACATATATATATATATATATACACACACACATACATACATATATACACACACACACCCCACTTCATAGCTCAGCACTGGCCTTGCGAAATATATACGTGAAGGCTCCTTCTCCCCTCCACCTCCAAGGTCACTGCCTTAGTTCTGTTCAGCATCAAAAGAGAGGTCTGCCTCCTCCCGGTCTCATTTTCGTTCTCCCACCATTCTTTCTCCCCATGGTTCTCAAAGTTCTTAGGAAAACCTCAGTGCTCAGAAGAAAAGCTCAACCCTGCCCAGCCGTTTATAAGGCCTCCCTGGAGCAGCCCAGCCTCTCCTCTCACCACTCCCGGCTCTTCCGCCATTCTCCCACCATGTCCTCCTAGCTCCACGGGTCTGCTTTTAATTCCACCAGCATACCACACCATTTCCTGCCTGAAATGTCCATCTTCCCATCATCACAGACTCGCTAGTACCTCCTCAGGAAACTCCTTCTTATTATCTCCACCTCTATTTTTCCCCCTTTGTTCGTATGCTTTTCCATAGCACTTACTGTTGTTATTGTTATGTGCTGTCAAGCTGGAACTGATTCCCAGCGGGTTTTCAGAGGCAATAGATCTCATGGAAGGAGACTGTCCATTACCCTTTGAAGTAGCTGGTCAACTGTGCCTTTGAATTGGCAACATAACTCCCCATCATTGGAAACGTATTTGATGGGGAATCTCCTGATGTCCAATTTGGTTCTGACTTGACATCAATGGGTTTGAGGGGTTTTAGTTTGCTGCATGTGTGCACATGCACAAAAACACACACCCAGAGCTCGAACCTCAGCTACAAAGCTGGAGGGGAATCTGTATTTTAGTAAAAGCTGCCCAGGTGATTGTTAAGTAACGAGATTTAAGAACCACAAGACCAGAGGATTCTGATACTGGCTAGCCACCCTTTACCAACTGCTGGAGTCTGAATTGTTTTCAATCCATACAACTTGGAACAGAAGATTAGGTTCTCATAAAGTCTTTGTGGCCTGCCTTCTGTGTGTGAAAGCATCTTTTTCTCCTATCAAGTGACTGAGGAGTGATTCAGGAGCCAGCAACCTGCAGGATGGGTGGGGTCAGTGTTCCCAAAGACTCAGATGACTTGATTTGTCACATAACAGAATGTGGTGGCCACCCAGGCCTGGGAAAGTCCTCATGAATGAGGATGAGGTGGCATCTGTGAGCGGGAAAGGGGAAAATGCAGGTTTGTTTGCTTCAGGCTGTTTTTCTCAGATTCCTTTTTGTCCCAGTACATTGGGAAAGCCAAGGCACTGTGCTGGGTTTTAGGGCACATTTGCCCAGGGCTCAGTAAGGGAGGGTGGGGAAGAAAAGAAAAGAAAAAGAAATAAACTTGAGTGTCCTGGGTTTAGTTAAGCGTGCATCTTGATTTCACCATATTATTAGGGTGTGTACTCGATAATGAGGACTCCACCTTCCTTATTTTCTACTTCCATGAACTGACATAAGCTTTGGCAAGATAAGCAAGGAGTGGCTCAAATCAATAGGAGAAAACATTCACACAAGCATCTTCATACTATGTAGTCAGTGAAAGATAGTAAGTTATGGTGACAGATCTGATATAAAAACCATTATTCACTCATTCATTCAACAAATATCTATTTCCTGTGAACTATGCCCAGCAAAAGTCCCTTGGTGGTACAGTGCCTGCTTGCTGGATTGTTTGAATGGTTGGCAGTTTGAATGCCGAGGCAGAAAGGTAGACAGTCTTCTCCCATAGTGACTTACAGCCTTGTGGAGGGTTGTTATGAATTAAAATCGAGTTGATAGTGGTTAAGTTTGATTTTGGGTATTTTCCCAGTTAAGATGGGACAGTTCAACCTGACTCAATGGCAACAGGTTTGTTTTCTGGAAAATGCCCAGTACTACTGTGCATAGCAGGGCTACCAAAGTGAACAGAAACTCTGTACCCATGGGGTCTGCATGCTAACTGGGGGAATACACTAATTGTAAACCAATCAAAATGAGCATCCCACAGTGCAACAAGGGAAAGTGGAGTAAGAGGATGGAGACTGACACTCAGGGAAGGACTGAAGAGGAGGCACTATCAACAAAGTGTGGATGAAGGGAAGGCGCAAGCCATGCACAAAGCTGTAGGAAGAGTGTAACTGGCAGAGAGGATAGTAGGTGCAAAGGAGCCCTGCTGGTGAAGCTAAACACTTGGCTGCTAACCAAAAGGCCAACTGTTCAAATCCACCAGCTGCTCTGCAGGAGAAAAGACAGGGCAGTCTGCTTCCATAAAGATCAATCCACTGCCATGCCGTCGATTCTAACTCATAACAACCCTCCACTGGGATTCTAAGGCTGTAATAAATAAGAGTGACAGAAGACGAAATGATGTGATGCTGGTGAAGAATACTGAATACACATACCATGGACTGTCATGCACAGAAAAAACAAACAAATCTGTCTCGAATCTGATGTACTCCTTGGAGGCAAGGGTGGGGAAACTTTGTCTCCTCACGTTGGTCATATTTTCAGGTGGAACCAGACTTTAGACAGAGCAACGTCATGCTGGGAAAGGTAGAGGGTCAGTGAAAGAGAGGAAAACCCTCAGTGAAATAGACTGATGGATGTAGTGATGACCACAATGGGCATGAGCATGACAGAAACCATGAAGTTGGCGCAGGAGAGGACAAGGGTCAGATCTGCTGTTCACAGGGCACAGGGGGGCTATGAGCTGTAGTTGACTCAAACCACCTAACAACAACAACAACAAAATCTATACAGGAGGAGACGGCCCATCTTTCTTCCAAGACGCAGCTGGTGGATTTGAACCACTGACCTTTTTGTTTGCAACACAATATGTTATGCACTACAACAGGCTTGGAAACCTTCAGGGCAGTTCTACTGTGTCCTCTAGGGTTGCTAGACGTCAGCACTGACTTAATGGCAGTGGGTTTGGTCTTGGGTTTATAGCAAGTGACAATGTGTGCATATAACAGGACTGGGGAAATATAAAGTAGGTCTTTAAATACACCTGCAGAAGGGAGACTGAGGGCCCCAGCAACAGTGAGAGAGCGTAGCCTGTGAGGAAGGTCTGGAAAGTCAAGAGAGGAAAATGTTTCAAGAGGGAAGGAATAAACTGTGGCAAGCGCTGCTTTATTTTTTCATCTTTTTTTAGCTTGCTCACTTTCCAGTTACTTTACAGAAATAATGTATATTTTACTCTCTCACTCTCTATTGGAAATCCTGTATCTTTTGTTTGGGACAGTCGACAGAAATTGTCCTTCAATTAGACATAATAGCCTGAGAGAAATTTCATTTCCCAAACAGCAGGGAAACCACCTTGATAAAAACCTCCAAGGCTCACATTAAAAACCTCAGAGAATGCATCCTCATCTTCTAAAGCAGATATTCCTTAACTTTTCTCCCCCGCTCACCAAAGTATGGCATAAAACATTTATTTTAAAAATCACAATGCTAGTTTTATTGCAAGTCTCTTAAGATAAGGTTAATCATGTTGTGCATGTAAAATCTTTAGTTGAGAATCTCTGGGGGGTCAGGGAAAAGAATCTGTGGGCAAATGATTTTATACACATTGATTATTCTCTGGGGGGGCTATTGTTTGCTAACAAGCAAACACACGGTAAAGTCTGAGATCAAAATTACGTTTGGGTTAAAGCTCAATGCCCCTTCATTACATGTGCTTTCTAAACATTGATATGTCCATAAAGGTCTCATGTTATCTGTATGTAAAATTATTTAAAGGTTCTGATTTAGAAGGTGAGAGTGCTGGTGGTCTAATGGTAAGAAGTTGTACTGCCGCTCTAGGGCACACAGTAGGAATCCAACAGTTTCATCAACAGGCAAAGGATGGGCAGTCTCCTCTTTGTGCAGTTTAAAACCTCTGAAAACCTGTTTGGGAGCCAGTGATGAGCTGGTTCTGACTTGACAGCATATAACAATAACAATTTAGAAATGCAGCCAGCAGAGGACCTAGAAATATTTCCAAAGACATTTTTCCATATTGCAGTTCCTAAATCCATCCCAACAATGATTGCCCGGGTGATTGTTTAACAGTCTGTTAAT